CTCGACCAATCATTTTCGCTGCAATCACACTCCACTTCTTATCTCCGAACTCCCTTACCAATCTAATTAAAACCCTTCATTGCATTTCATCACAAAACACAATTAAATTAAGGTGACAACTCCGGTACCCATTTAAAAAATGGGGTACCGTATCTACCACTCACATCATGATTGGTCCAAATCATTAAATCATTTTTAATTTAGATTTAAATAATTCAACTACAACATTCTGATTGGTCCAAGTAGACAAAGGTATGATACCTTTTGGGTACCATAGAATCTACCTTAAATTAAACCACATTCATTAATTTTGAAGAAATTATTAATTAACGATTAATTGGCATAAGTAAATTATAGGTATAGAAATTAAAAATTATATATATTATACGAGGTATATAACTAATTTAAATTTCGAAAAACTTGAATTTTAAATTGGAACTTTCAGAAACAGCTGTTTGCGCTAGCATGCGTGTAATTACCCCAATCACCAATTTTTTTAAAGAACGCAATAGGTTTGTTGTAATGTTTATGATCCGTTTGGTAGCACCAAAATCGGCTGTTTTGGCTGATTTTTCTCCAAACGGGCTCATTATCATTTGACATTTTAGAAAATTATATTCTTGTTTCTTTTATCAGATACAATATACAAGAACCAAATGGGTGTGGATCTAAGTTGATAATAGTAAGGTCACATAGCTTACACATGATTATAGATCTGCTTTTTTCTTAAAGGGCAAGTGTCAGAACTTGTTATTTCTTACTCGGAATCTACTTGGTCACTAGCCTATTTGAATACAGTAAATTTCATCCTTATTGTAATTATATACGACCCCCATTCTTAAATAAGTGAAACGCATTGAATTTTACATTATTTACATATTATGCATTGACTAAGTTTTATTTATTAATGTATTAATATTTATTTGAAAAAATAATGTTAAATTTGTCTCTTTGTAAATTTTCTAAATTTGATTTTTCAATCTTTTTAGTAATAGAAAATCATATATATTAATGGTCAAAGTCGTGCATCAGCAAATGTGAAAAGTTGATCGTTATACTTACATAAGATTGGGAGTGTATGTCTAGAAACACACATATACACACACGTTATTATTTGTATACATAGTCAAACATCATACATTCATACTAATATGTCAATTTAAAATATATAAAAACATGGGAATTATATATTATATGGTGATCTAAAAATTAAAAAAAAATCATTTAATTTAAAACCTGAATCTTTGGGAATATAAATCTAAGACTAAAATTGTAATGAAGTTTAATTTTTTTATTTATTAAATCGTTCTTTAAAATTAATCATCATTCATTAATAATGAATTTAGTAAAACTTTAAGTGAAATTAATTTTATAATCTATTTGTTGGATTCTTAAAGTACCTATAATTCTCTCTCTACACACACATGTATGTATGCATGCATGTATGTGTGTATGTGTATGTGTATGTGTATGTATTATATTCATATGTATATATAATTTGTGCATGTGTATATGACTCAGAAGATGATGGTGATCACCTATCTTCTTCTGGACTCCACAGACCCTTGATAAGGCCTACTCCTGGAAACACTTCATTTTCTCTGGAAATCATTCTGGATTCTTCCTCACTCCTTAGCACATGATAGTTTTCTTGATCACCCAATTGCAATTCATGGGGGAAGTCGTCCCGGCCGCCCCTTATATTTCCATTTGGGGGGGGACATCCAAGAACCCTCGACAATGGCCACTCCGATACAGCTACTAGAAAATGATCGGAAACTGCTACCGCCAATATCCATCAAAGACTATTTTATTAATTGAAGTGGATCGATCGAGTAGAGATAGATTTAGAAAAGTTGAGAGGCTTGTTTTTATATGCAGAGAAAGGATTTTACGTAACGTTTGTATTAATTAATTACTCAACTAATTGACTGACTTAATTACACTAATAAAGATTGTTTTGACTAAATAGGATCGGTCATTGTTAGACCGAAGGTTAAGATCACTACAATCATGACACGTTTGCATAGTAAATGTCATGGTCGGAACTATGTAGGGGCTGGGGTGAGCTCCTTCCCAGCCCAACCCAATTTTTTATTAGTATATGAATAGGTGTAATGTCGAGCTCACCTCAAAATTAATGTCCAGCCCAGCACAAGCCTACTAGGCTACAAACATACTCGTATGTTTCAGACTTATTTCACTTGTGGCCTCCCTACATGCCAACTGTGAAGCACGAAGCAAAAACTGGAAGGAGTCAACTCAGTAAAGCTATGAAGTCACTAACACAGGCACCCAGTCGTGCATGCCACCACCCCCCGTCCAGGGCCTTGCATTGGTCGTTGGCCATCGACATCCCTCTGGCACTCTAACCTGTAGCTTGTTACGGCTCTACCTCTTTATTATCTCTGAGTCTGATTGCATTGACTTCCTCTAGCTGAATCTAGTTGTCCACATATATTGTAGTGCTCTTTTAATCTTTTTTTTTAAAGGAAAAGGCTTAAACTTTATTAACCAACAAACCAATAACAGAGCATCACCACACTAACAGGATCCATCATACCCTTAGCTTTCCTATAACCGAAAAGCCCCCATATTCTCTAACCGGGCATAAAAGAGTCCATCCTGTAAAGAGCAACACCCTTTGCTGGACATGCGAGAGATTTGAAGTCGCTATCGGCACTGTCAGCCAAAATACTTCTTGTCTCATCCCCAAATCCCGTTTTCTTCCCAAAAACCACCCTCAACCCAAACAAAGTATCTAAAATAACGAGTACGACATAGCAAGAGTGCTAGATCATATTTTATTATATTCAATTTAATTGTAATTATTTTTGTTTAATAGACTAGTATAAATGGGCTTTGAATTGTAATTAATTAAATAGGCTTTTATTTTAGCCCATGCGTGCAGTTGTCCTATGCTAAATAAGATGTCTGATTCTCTCTCCTATAAATAAAGGACGAGGTACGAACAAGCCTAAGAGTTCCACATATTACTTTGACGCATGCGTATCATTCTTTAGAGCTCTCTACTTTCTCTCTCAACATTTCATATGTATATCATGTATTCATCGACATATTATTGTGAACATACAGTATTGATTGTTGATTGATATTCATCTTCTACATCTTTTCTACATACTATGGTTTAATATTGTTTGACTGTTGAAATTCTGGGAATTCACAATTGGTGTCAGAGCAGAGGCGTATAATTTGTTCATCGTAATTGTTAGAATTCTGAAGGATTTAATTTGATCAAAATCGAAAGATTTGGTTGTATTAATTCTGGATTTGTTCTTCATAATTTACATATTTTATGTTACTGTTGTATTAAAAGAAGAAGAGAAGACCACGGAGGAACAATACCTAGTTGCTCGAGAAACATTGTTTGCATATTTGAAATCTTTAATTTTGGCCATTCAGCATATTTTAAGCATCAGATTTCGGCACCTGCGGCGGAAGTTTTCTGAGCACCCAAGATCTAGTCTTCGTCGCTAGCTTGAGATCAGCCCCTTCTGAAAAAGAAAATGTGTCTACAGAGGATGACTGTCTAGTCTTTGTCGCTACCCGAGATTTGCTTTAGAAGCCAAGCTCGAGATCGTATCTGTTTTCGCTGACCCAAGATCAATTATTCTTCGATATCAACCCGAAATCATCTCCTTTTTCTCACAACCCAAAGTTCTTATTCAAAGTCTTCACTCAAAATTTAAATCTCGAGACTCCTGATTTTGAGACTTCGTATTTAATCACCTCGAGGACCCGTGATATATTTTATTCTATAAGAGTCCATGATCATTTACAGTCTACTTTTCAACATGGATGCACACAAAATGGGAAATGATTTTGGGCCTCCTATTCTAAGGAGAGGTGAATTTACAGTTTGGAAGGCCAGGTCTCCGAATTTCATATGAAGTAGAGAAAATGGTTCACAAATTCTTGCCTTTCTTAAAGAAGGGTCAGCAACAATCCTCCTCTTCTTCCAAGAAAGATTCCGAAACTTGAGGATGAATATACCTAAACAGAAAAACTGAGAGGTAGAGTTGATCTCCTTACTACAACATATCTGCTCCAATCCACCCCGAATGACATCTTTATGCAAATTGACAACCTCACGATGGTCAAAGAAATATGTGATGAGATTCATCAGACTATGCAAGGAACTGATGTTGGAATAAAGACTAAATGAGCTCACACTCTAACTGCCTATGATTCACACTGCAAGAGCTGAAAAAGACTTGGAAGACACATATCAGCGCTATCTAATGGTCCTTAATTAAATTGGGAAGATCAAAATTCAAAAGACCAACATGGAGGTTAATCTACATTTTCCACGATCTCTGAAACCTGAATGGAAAAAGACTGCTAAGAGAATGAGGCATACAAAGGACTTGGATGAGATGTCCATCCACAATGTTGCTTGCCTATGATAATTCTCTGAGGATGCACTTGAAAAGGTGAAAGATTCAAAAGAAAAGAATCTTGTCGACTCTCTTGTTCTTCTATCTAAAAAATTTGAGAAAAGAGAGAAGGTTCCAACAACTGTTACTGAAGCTGATTCATCTGAAGAAGAAAAGAATTTGTTTGATTCCGACCCATAGATCATTGAGATAAAAAAAGGAATTGGCCCTGCTAACCAATCTCACAAATAAGAAGTTCAAGAAGTTCAAACCTCCATCATCATCAAACAAACATAGAATCTCTTCATTCAAGCACACAAACAAGGCAGTGGACCTTCTGATAAAGCTGTCAGTGGTGATCATCTGAACTGCTTCAAATGTTGCAAGCCTGGTCACTTTGCCAAAGAATGTAGAATGGCTAAGAAGAAAGACTACAATTACTACATTCAAAAGGCACAAATTGCCAAACAGAAGGAGAAGGAAATAGTTGTCATGGCCGAACATGATCATTGGCTAGAGGACTCTGAAGATAGCGAGTCAGAGAACATGGCGTTGATGGTTAGAGTTGAAAATGAAGCTGAAACTGAAAGTGATTGCTCAGAGGATGATACCAATTCTCCATCTTCAGAGAATGAGGTACGTACTTTTAACTCTCAATTTACTGAGCAATGCAGTAAACTCAATGAACAAATTTCATCTTCAAAGAAAGAGAGGAAGAAAATAAAGATCGAAACTTGAAGCATAGAGACTTGCTACTAATGAGAATGTTCTGAAAGCACGCTTAATAAAAGCGGGTATACATTCTGAATCTGCGCTTAACAAACTCACAAGAAAGGGTCACTAGCTTAGAATTAGAAGTTGTTAAACTTAAGAAAAATTTATGCGACTTAACTAACGAACTAGAAGAATATAAGCGAAAGCAATCTGAAACCACACTCTTCTTTGATCAAATTTGAAGGAACATAGTCGTCTGTACACAAAAATTAAGGAGTTGGAGGATATGCTTGCTAAACAAAGTCAATCTAAACAAACAATTTTCTTGAATCAACATAAAGACAATGAATGCTATAATCTTAGAGAAGGACTAGGTTTCCAAAACCCTTTTAACTTAAAGAAAGTTGATTGTCATCAAATTTATGACATAAGGTATATGGGATTAAAATTAACTAGTTTGATGTTATTTACTAGTAATTCTGAAATTGATCAGGAAGAAGAGGACAAAAGAAAGGATAAAAATAGAACTAAAATAGTTTTTGACTATTCTGCTCTAAATGTGAGTTATGCGACTAGGGAAATTCATGTGTCAAATGATTATTTTGCCCTCTTCCCTTCTGAAAAAGAAAATGTGTCTACAGAGGATGAAGTCTCCATATCTAAAATCACTAAACCACATTTTCCTAAAATTATTAAGAAAATGGCTCATTTTCATTCTTTCTTCGAAGAAGAACGTGAGAAGTTCAAATTTCAAAAGCAAAATCTTTTGAAGAAACTTTTGAAGAAAAACTAATGAGGGCATGTATTAGGAAAATGGATGAGTTTTAGTCATTAATTTTATCTTAATATAATTAATAATAGGAACAACCAGCCTTGTTTTCTTATTTAATTTTATTTGCTCATATGCATGTAATTGAGTTATTTGATTCTCTATTATATGCTACATATTATTTAAGCCATACATTTGGTTTTATAGTATTTAATTTATTTAATTGTTTATTTGTATTTTTTATTGGTTTATGTGTATATATGTATATTTAAAAAAAATAGATTAGCTACTTAAATTTTAAGAATAATTGCATTGGTCTAAAATGTTTAAAATTATGAGATGTCAATAAAGTAGCTACTACTAGTTTTAACGGAAGGACTTGACCAATATAGATTAAGGACTAAAATAATAGATTTAATAGTTCAATGACCAAAATGATATGGCGATGATAGTTCAAGGACTATTTATGCATTTTACTCTAATTAGAAACCATAATTATATTCGTACAGGGTTGGGTGCAAAAACAAAGATTTTTAAAAACGGGGTGCAACGTTGAATTTGAACAATAAAATGGGATGCAAACTGAAATTACCCCTTATTATTATTATTATTATTATTATTATTATTATTATTTGCACATGTCTTGTACATTGATTTTTTTCATACACACATGTGCACTTAGTTAATCACACACATGTAAGTATAGTTAAACATATTTAGTAATTAAACATAGTTTAATAAAACATATACTTAAACATGTCCATCTGGACTGATGAAGTGATGAGATCATGTATATATCCATATATGAGAGTTAAAATATTCAACATAAAAGTTATAATTGCTTTCATGATTAATTAATGTCAATCATAACAATAGTTTTCCACAATCAAAGTGTGCTTTACAAAGCGCATTCCTCAAAGTATGATGAACCAAGAGCTTCTCCCTTAAGAAGCTGAATACTCTGTTATTACTCTCGAGAACAAAACCAGTCAAATGAGCAGCAATGATGAGTACAAAGCTTTTCCTTCTCCTTTCCTTTGTGTGTTTCTCAAGGCTGTCTTTTATCCTTTTGAACCTATCATCATTATAATCATCATCATCATCATCTCATATTGATTTTTTCCCCAACTATGCACCCGCAAGGCACCAAGCAAGTACACTGCTATCTTCCAAGGCATAGCACCCGGCCCTGCTAGAGATCTGGTGTCATTTGGATGGAGCATCACTGAAAACGTACACAAACGTTATTCCGGGCAATGTCTCCTAGCAACACATTCCATCGGAGTCTAGTCTTAACTTTAGCTTAAAACGGGAAATAGAGTGCACTGGAGTTATCTCAATAGTGTCAGTCACTTCCTCAAACACATCCTTAACCTTGCTTAGCACAAACTTCTTGAGTTTTATGGGATCTCACACCACCCGTGCAAAAAAAAATAGAGCTTTGGCTCATACTCATAAAAATAGAGTTTTATGCTACAAATCCTCTAATAGCTCATCTCTTCGAATCAACTGCATTGTGGAGTCTCAATCACTTGGCGCCATTGAGTTAACTTCACCGTACCCAATTAAAACCTGCAACACACAAACAAAGACAATATGGCATTTATTTTTAAGTTTTTATCATCTAAAAGCTCATCAATCTTATATTATTGTTTATATTCTCAATAATCTGGGATAACATAATTACTACATAAGCAACTTTCACTAAAAAAGGAATTTCAATTTTTTTGTGCAAGCTTCAGTGTTCGTCCTATCCAATATAATACGGAGTATACAGATTAACAGCTATGAAAAATTACATGTTTATATTCAGGTATAAAATACATAAACATGTAAACTTATGCTAATAATTCCAGTAAATATAGAATATCTTAACTCAACTCACCCAACCTTGTTTTTTATACCGGCTGCAGCTCCTTCTAAACCCCATTGAGAACTTGTGTAGCTACAAAATATTTGGAAAAGGAGTTAGTATTTTCTCATCAGAATGAATTTCTTACATTTATAGTTGAAACCATAGGGATATGCTCCCTAGCTAACTTTGGCCACTGAAGATGTTACAAAAGTTTAAAAAAAATTGGTAAGGAAAGTTACTTTCTTATGTTTAGTTTGATTTTCAAAAAAGAAAGACAACCCAAACCAAGCTTCAATGTTTGATCAGAACACAAGATCATAGAAAATTTTAAAACCTTAATAGTTAATCTATTACTTTGAATATAAAAAACAAATAAAATACTACAAAACTACAAAACCAGATACAAAATCAATCAGTTTTAAATGAGTGACTTATTCGGCAAGCAACACTCCACAAAAACACATGTAATCTCCATATCCTTAGAACGTTGAGAAGCTAAATCAGTTTGCTAAATGGTAGTGTTCAATTCACAGGTTGTTAGATTATCTTATGCAATTGGACTATTGCAGAATGCGGATTAGGTAAATAGGAGCTTACCTTTAACTCCAGATAACATTAGACTATACCAAGTTTATGAGTTTATCCTTAACAATTTGACATCATTAGAATATTCTTTCAGTACAAAAATATTAGATCCCAGATGCTTTTTGCACACATATTAAAGAAACAAATGATACATATGGTTAGCTTTGCAATTTGTCTTCCAAAAGTTGGTTAACATTTATTACAAAATTGCGCATATTGTTCAAATGCCAAATCAGAAAAGGGTAAGTCAAAAAGAAGAAAAGATATAGTTCAAAAAAGAAACTGGATATAGTTGTTAGACAAACAAAAAAGGATATTGAACACATAAAATGGGACATATGGAGTAAAACACTTAGTGAATCAAACAACTTGAATTGATCTCATATTCTTATGATGATACAAAAGATAAAATTTCTCTTCACTTCAATGGCACTGGGAGGCAGGGGCGTATCCAGGGTGGGGGCAGGGGGGCAGCTGCCCCCACTCAACCCCCACCCAACCCTTTTATATATATATATATATCCAAATGAAACTTATACATATATTTTTGTTCTAAATAAAGGGTTATTATAGGGTAAGTACAAGGATTTTAATCAAAGGTGCTAGTGGTTCAACGGAAGGAGATGGTGTGTTAAGTCTTGCCTTCCACGGAGGTTAGGAGGTCAATTCCTACCTAAAGTTGTTTTTTATGTTTTATTTCTTTTGTGCTTGAAGCCTTAAGCAAACCCTAAGTGGTTTTACATTGTTCTTTTTACTCTTTTTTTCTTGTTGGAAAGATCTAAACTACATCAATATATTTACATTTCTAGTTTCACATATGAACTGATTTTGTACATGATATATAATATTTTTTAAATATACTTGTGAATTTTAAATTTAAATTAATTCTAACTACATGCTCCTCCTCCATTAGTTGATTCATTTATATATTGACATAATTTTTCACAAATTACAGATTCCATGTGATGAAATTATTTCAAACAATGTGAAACTTAATTAAACGTGATATCATAATGTTTTTTATGAGAGAATATTTTGTTATTTATAATTGGTTTTACAATTTTTTTTCTTAATCTGATTTTTCATGTAATTTTTTTCGTAATCTAACGTAAATCCGCCCCCGCTGACATATCTTTCTGGCTACGCCACTGCTGGGAGGTGACAGTACTTTACCTCCTCCTCTCATGTCCCCATCTAAAAAACCAAATTTGCTTTTTGCTGTGAGGGTGCTTGTATAAGAAACCAAAATATGGAATGTTGTTTACTTAGATGGGCTAAACTGATTAATTTTTCCAGCAATGACAATGACTATTTGAATAAAATAATCACAAATATATCTTTCTGATAACACCAATGTTTTAGAAATTTTTATGAACTTGCATAGCAGGAAAAACACATTATAGTTTATAATGTTGAAAACAAAAACATACATTTCAAGCAAGCATGATATTGCAGTCTTCCACAGTACAAAATATATATCAGCATCCAATGGTCACAAAAAGTAACAGAACCTGGAACCAAACAAACAAATCAAATTTCACAATATTTGAAAACAATCAAATAAGAATATGTAAGATTAGAAAAAAGATTGCAGTTTTTGGGTAAAAATCTTCTATATCAAGGTACTAAATAATTTTTACAAATGATTACTAAAAGAGAAGCATGCCTTGAATTTTGATAAAAGCTGAATCAAATGCATAGTAATACAAATTTTGCATTCTTCATAGTTCACCTAAAGTATTTTGACATTCTTAACCACACATCATTGTAAGGAAACAAAGAGGCTAAGGATGCTAATAAAAACATAACATGTCCAAAAAAGTACTTGAGTCATAATGAACAACCACACATCATAGAAGGAAACAAACAAATTAAAAATGGCAATAAAACAGAACCTGCCCAAAAAATCAAGCACCAAAATTATACGTGAGGCATTTTCAAGTTTCAACACCCACTTGTCAATGGGAGGAATATTTGCGTTCAAAGTTAAATGAACAAATGGTAAAACCCTGAAATTCGAGCAATATTCTATGCAATAAAAATGTCATTTCAATCTTGAAGGTGAGAGGAAGAAGCAAGAAGATAGTGAGGATTATAAAACTACAATTGGAATAAAAAGATGAAGTTTTGTAATTGAAATAAATTCATGGCTTCACCAATTGTTATAAGCTCACAAAATTGAATTGTAGGAAAACTCATGTAATTCATGAAGCAAAAGTAATGAAGTGACAAAAAACGAAAATCAATCATTCAAAAAACTAATATATGCAGATAAAGATACATGACGAAAATGAATAGATGAAGAACGGAAGTAATCTGATGACTCATACAAATGAGCAGGAAAATGAATTTTCCCAAAGTCGTGCAATTATGTAGGAGGATTCTAAAACACCCTTTCACTGTGCATATTATAAAAGAGACACTTTACGATGAAACACAGTATTTGGAAGAATATTGATAATGGCACCTGTTGAACCTTAACAAAGGTAAGTGAATTTTAAGAAAGATTGCAGCCTGCACCTAGGGAAAATATCTTCCAATCAAGCATTCTGAAAAGATTTCAACAACAATAGCAAAACAGTAAGTGTAAAAACAATAACTAAACAGAGAGTATTGAAATGATTGTTCATAAAGAACACACACAGTTCCCGCTCTTTAAGACCATTTTGCAAGAAAAACAGTCTGCAGGGGTAAAGAGAGTGCTTGTTACACACTTACACCCCCAAAAATAAGCATTTTAATTCTCATTAGATATTGAGTATAAATTAGAGAAGGTTAAAAAGAAACTTACGCATAGATAGTTACTTGACTTCCACTGGTCTTAAGGAAATTCCTAAGAGATGCAATTCGAATGAAGGAATTGAGGAAAACCGTTGAAACCTAGATAGAGAGCAACTATCTTGTTCTTCATTGCCATTACTTTTCATCTTGAAATAAATAAGAAGAATTGTTTCCCAGCTTTAGAATCCAGAGGAATTCCTATTTGCCAATTAGAAGAAGAATGGGGAGGAATTGCTTCTGAGCTTTTCAAGTGGGACGTATTTCGGAGAATAGTAGGGCGGGGCATATTTGTTTTTAGTTTGTTTTTATAGGTTTGGGTTCTGTTCGATTTGGAATGGGTTGGAAGAATTATTACTAAACAAAAATTATACGGATTACTATTTTTCGGTTTGGTTCGATTCGGTTAAGTTCGGTTTGGATTGGTTAATTTTTAATAATATATGAAGGCTTTTTTGAATTTCTTTAGTTCGGTTTTGTTCGGTTTTTATTGGTTTCGATTCGGTTCGATTTAATACGGTTTGGAAGAAATAGTAACAAACTCAAATCAAATTGCATACGGTCCGATTTTGATTCGGTTTAGTTCGATTTGGTCCGATTTGGTTCGTTATTATGTCCACCCTAAAGAATAGTGATGAGGTTTCCCTATGGCAGGAGGGGCCGCTCAAATGCACATATCTGCTCAACAGCTCAAGCTTCCAGATTGTGACGCATTTGATGTGCTCTCGTGCATTAAAGGCTATTTTTTTGTGTGTAAAAGGTTTTAACACGTTCTTTTGTAAAAAAAACGTTTTTACAATTTTTTTGATGATATATGCAGTGAGGGGAGACTGGAGAGTGATAAAGCAAATGAATGATCGTCTCCACTCTCCAGAGTCGTTGATCTACTTTTATTTTGTGCAGCTGAAAATGTGGTAGGTCTTTGAGCCGGAAAATGCATTTACCCAAAAGTAGTAAAATTATGTACAATGATGATTTAATAGTTATAGTCTTATTCTTGCAATTTAGCTTCTGTTTTTTTACTCTGGGTCTAATTGTCTAGTGGAGGGGACTGGGAGAGCCTGAAGTAATCAGGGCTGAAACTCACTTCATTGAGTTTCGACCCTTATGTTTTATATTTTTTTTATCATTACTCCAATTTGTACTTGTTACATTAGTTATTTATAACTCAGTTTAGTATATAAAATAATACGGAGTAGATTTTATGTTTATTTTGTTTCAATAAACATTGATCAGGTTATCACATCGTTGACTGTTGACCGGGGTGACTCCTATTTCACGTTTGTCTCGTTCACCTCTAGATCCCCTTTTGACAACTTAGTCAACCTATCAATCCAGGATTGTTTTGGCCATTTTGTTTTTTGAAATATTCTTTTCCACTTATTTTCTAGTTGTTGATTTTTCTTCACTATGAAATTATACTACCTTCATCCCATTCAAAGGTTCTAAACCACTATTCACATGGCTAACTTAAATTGTTCTAAATTGTTTTTTGCTTTATATATCAAATTTTTATCCAATTTACATTTTTGATCAGATTTTGTAGTGATTTTAATGTAGTTTCTGAATCCGATACAGGAACCTCTCTATGGGACGGATGGAGTATTCATTTTAATAACCAACAATTTTCAGAAAAAACCCATTGACGGAGAAAAAGGAGAGGCGGATTGAATTGCCTATAAGGTTTGCCATCGGGTTTAAAAAAACGAATGAAGAAAGAAAAGGAAGAAGAGAGGTGGCTGGTGGCATTACATGAGCTACTCGGGAACCACTCGAATGCCGCCACTAAGAGGCGGCAGTTCACCAAGAGAAAACCCAAAGAGGGCGGCGACCTAATCAATAACGGGAATAAAAAGAGACATATGGTTCTAGAAAACTATATCAAATACAAATACTTCACCGGCCTCACTCTTGCGCCGCCCAGTTCAGCCCAACAGAACAACATTGACACCCATGGTGCCATGGTGGTAATAACCAGCAGTCTTCGTCGACGGCGATATTCCCGGCCGGCGAGAAGAATGAACACCGTGAGTGGCCATCGCTCTTGGCCGAATCCTACGACGAGGAAATGAGCTTTATGGCAAACCTCTTTGGAGCCTCGTCGTCTTCCGCACCAACGACGTAAATGGTAGTGGCGAACAACAAAAGTGTACCCCAAAACATAAATAAGGAGGATGGGTTGGAGGCGGAAGGCAGCTGGAGCAGCTACTTGGCGTCTGATTAGAGCTTCCAATTCTAAAATGAACTAATGAAGTATTCAAAAACTGTTTTCATATTGTAATGTAACATGCATGCATGACTTTAGTTTTTGTAATTATTAAGTGTCATAGTTTAAACTATGTTTAAAATATTAATTTAATTGAGTCTTGAGGGATCTAAGTATAATATCTATGCCGGATGGTGTTTTCTTAGCTTCTTTTTTGTAGAAGTGCCCTCTAGGTATGACAGTAAATTGGAGTTTATATATAAGTATGTGATGTTCGGTGATAGCAGTTCTATTAAAACCATACACATTAGATTGAGTTGTACAATTTTTAAAAAGCTAGTCAATTAAAATTTTAATAAATGTAAAATACTCCACATTTGAAATTTGAATTAATTAATTCTTTAATCAAATAGTCCTGTAATATTCACCAGATTACTATCATTGTGTTAAGAAGGTATTTTGGTTTTGTGCCGTAGACAAAAGAGTCAAATTAGATTGTATAGATATTTATGGCGGGAAAAAAAGTTTTCACAAAAGTAGAAATGACATATGCTTATGAGAATATATTTTGGCTTTATTAGGGCATAATATTTTAGAATTGGATTTATTAATTATGTAATGATAGAAATTTTATATAACTGGCTACTTATGTGGCATGGTATAGTGCTTCACAGAGTTAGCATGTGCGAAATACGTGCCAAACCCATGCGACATCTGTGCCAAACCCGTGCAAAATCCGTGCCAAACCTATTACACTCAGAAATTTACTTAAAACCCCGAGGTAAAATTTGTGCCAAATATAAGTTTTTTTAAGTGCTTTCTGTATTATAGATAATGGCAAAATTTTAGAAGGAACAAGGATAAGAAACATTTGTAGTGAACTTTGTTTAAGAGTCGATTTAAGTTATTGTGAAAGATTTTATTAGTTTAATATATGTATCAAATTAAAGGTTAAAAGTAGATAATAGATAAATAATAAAATAGCGAAAATTACCTCTCTTGTGACTAAAACAACATGATATTCCTAAAATATGAATATCTGAGTTTTTTTCCCTTGAATGATGCTTGCACGAGTTTTTTCCCGGAATAATGCTAAATAAAAAAAAAAATCCCAAAATACTGTTGTATTAAAAATAATTCTCAAAATACTGCTGGATTAACCGTGGTTAAGGAAAGCCGTCACTTTTCACTTACAATACAAGAGCCACCACTTGAAGTTGCGGCTTTCTAACTAAAAAAGGCAGCACCGAGATGTAAGGCCAAAGACAAGTAGCCAATATATGGTAGTGGGTCCCACCAGAATTAAATATCTCCTGTTTTCTTTGAAGTGCTATAACTCCTTTATTTGTACTTTGATTGTTACATAACATATACCGAAATTCATAACTTTTTATTATCTTTCATATGACACCAATATTGAATATATATATAAAAAAATAACACTTTAAAAATTACTGTGTATCTTTTTTTAAAGTGCATATATTTTTTATTTGTATTCCGAATATTACAAAAAATACATCAATTTTTTTTTATTTTTTATTATGTTTTATAGGGAAGCAATGTTTCATATAGAAAAATAAAAAGAAAATATATTAATTTGTGTAGTTTAGGATCATTTTTACCATGCACTCCGGATTTTTATATATTCAGTATTGGTGTTATATGAAATACAACAACATAAATTTTTGTGCAAAAAATAAATAAATAAATAAATAAATAAACAAACAAACAAACAAACAAACAAACAAACAAACAAACAAACAAACAAACAAACAAACAAACAAACAAACAAACAAACAAACAAACAAACAAACAAATAAATAAATAAATGTGATGGAGTTTGTGTATAGTAAAAAATGATCCTAAACTACAAAAAATAGTATATATATATATATATATATATATATATATATATATATATATTTTAATAATGAATAAATAGTTATTTCTTCCATAACATATTAATTGGCCTCCTATTACTGTGGAGACGGACAAATGCATGGCACGCCTTATTCAATGAGACACAAGTACATGTCTACATACATATTCATTATGTGTATATAATATATTTACACTCAATAATGATTAACTTTCCTTATTGTATCTAAAGTGACTTATATTACTGCCTTGCGTTTACAAAAATACAGACTTCTATTACTGCCTTTTACGTTTACTACATATATGAAAAAAGTCAAACCCTAATAAAAGTTGCAGCTTAAAATTAATACAACATATCTATCACATGTCCCACCGCCAAGGGTGATTTTATTTGAGAATAAATTCCACTTTTTGGTCCTACAAGTTTTAGGTCAATTTCACATTTAGTCCACATCTTTCACTTTGTCCACTTTTGATACATAACTATTGTGTTTTCGCCCATATATAATCCTTCCGACATTGTTTTCGACGATTAAAATCACCGGAAAAGGATCACAAACAGTTAAGAAACATTAGTTATGTCACGCCCCGGACCTCCCCGGACACGTCAACAATCCGTCGTACAATACGAATAGTCAACCGCAGTCCAACACATTCATATTATACAAGGCGTCTTGAATATCATTCACACATATAACATCCATAAACAAACATAATAAGTAATTCATAACGCAGCGGAAAACATTGTTTAAAACAAAAGGGCCACACAGGGCTATTCATGAGCACGCAGGCTCTATAGTAAAATATCCATGAGCAAATTTATTAATGTTTCAAATAGAATGGAGGAAGCACGAACCAAGTCTTCTCTCCGAGAAATCACTCGATCAACGAGCACAGGATGCAAGCTCTAGCCTCAACCTGAAATGGTGGTGGGACGCCCCCGAAGGGGTCAGTACTCTATACGGCTATAAAGTACTGGTGTGGCAGGCATCTAATAGATATACAACAAGTATTTCAAACACAAGACCCTCAAATAGGGTAATAATATAGTCTAGGCCGTAATCCCAAATTACCCTTTTCAAAATATATACTTACTTTATATAAAGTCAAGTAGTCAGCTCAAAAGCCCATGTTTATTACAAAACATTTCCCAAACCCCGTGACTAATAGTCACGACAATACATAGGGTCCAACCCTAATGTAACTTCTCATTTCTAGAGTTCGGCTCGAGTACATCATCATGCACTCGCATCATAGATCTCCTACTTCATGTAATCATATCATAGATCTCCTACTTCATGTATTCACCCCATAGATCTCCTACTTCATACAATCACACCATAGATCTCCTACTCCATAAATCACAATTGACACTTGAACATTATTCAAGTTCATCACAAACAAACTCAAACCTTAAGTTTGATTCTATCGACATTTAGAACAATCCTTAACTAGCATCACCATACTATTAAGATTATTCCTACAACTCATTTATTCTTAATGGTAGCCCCTCCATATCAATAGATATGTGGCAGCCTCCCATGTGCTAAGCATCATCATGCAATTATACATTTACATACACATAACATTCACACATGAGTTGGAAGGGTCAATTTACCATATTAGCATACTTCTATCTCATGTGACTCCATATTCATCAATATGTTTTCAATTCATAGTCAAGTCCATTACTTATCATTCATGTCATGTTCAAGCCTCTTTATTCACAAAAACATGATTTAAACATTTAGGTAATCTCATGCATAACCTACAAGTTGTAAGCAACTAGATGTCGGTCCTCACCTCAAATGAGCTTTAAAACCTTCCTTCTCGATCCAACGACCAAAGCCTCGGCCAAGAAGGTTTGAGAACTGATTCCTTGCTTTGAAATGAGTGTTAAACAGCCTCATCAAAGTGCTAGTTCAACCCCTAATCATTGATACGAAAACAGCACCTAGAATGGGTGTTTTCCGGCTAACTCGTTTCCTAGTTTTCCAAGATTTGCTCTAGGTTAGTATCTAACCTTTACACCAATAAAATAACTTTAAAAGGACATATTATACACTTGTAGTAGTGTATAATAGTTCCACCAATCGTTCATATCATTTGGAAAATGAAAGGAAAGATTTTGGGGTTAAAACTCACTTTAGAGGAGTAAATCCGTTCCTGCGAGGTTGTGTTTTGCCCGGACGATTTGGAAGCCTTCCACTACTCCGATTGATTCAAACCAGGCCTTCACGGATTCCTCTTCTTGAGAGATTTCCTTTGGTATCTCGCATGCCTTATTTGGATTGGTATAACTCGAGATATAAACCAAACAGCCTCAACACTCTCACTGCTCGAGTTTACAGACAGCAGTTCACTCCAGATAGATTTTTGTATGATAAACTCTCCCTTCTCACAGAGATACCACTCAAATAAGAAACTAGACTTCAAAGGCTATCCAAGGACACCTCACACACATTATTTGGTCGAGTACAACTCCCATAATGAGTGGAGGCAAACAGCACACCAATTTGTGCGAAAAATAGAGATGGTGGCCCAAACTTTGATTCCTATCAAGTCTTGTGCAGCTCCTCTCCATGATGGCCGGACAAGGTAAGTCCTCTCACCCATTTTTATTTGTCTTGCAGGTACTAATATCATGTGGAGTGGTTCCCAATTGATCCCAATTATTTTGGGGTCCGAAATATCTACCAATACTTCCAAAAATGGGAAGATGGATCCTATTGTTTTATCTTTTGTCAAAGATGTCTTTTGTACTCATCCTAATTTATTTAGAACAAGTCAACTTCCTACATCACATTATTGATCTCCAATATGTGTAGGCTCATCTCAATAATTTACTTGATAGATATTATAGGAGGAAAATCCTACTCCCATTATTTAGCTCAATAATGTCAAAGATGGGGCTATAGGCATTTGTATTCTTCTCTAACCATTCTATCACTTGTTTTGACATTTTTCATACATAATATTGGACTACTAGCCGGTTGGGTCACCCCCGAGTGGGCCTAGGACGCCATTCTCGAATACTTGCTATTTTTAGCAGGTTGGGCCCAAAATAATGTTTGGGCCGCCCGACCTTCCTCATATTTTCTTGAAAGGTTAAGTAACATTATTTAGGTAATGTTGGGCTCTTATGTTCATTAATAAGGCCCAAATAAGTATTTGCAAGCCCGACACTAATATACGAGTTCGAACAGTACAATAATCGATCATCAATTACGTAAAACATTAATCGTTTTACAATTGTTGGGAAATCGGAAATTCAATACATAAACTTTGAATTTTTAAATCGAATTTTCAAGGGTGTTCG